ATTTATTTATTTATTTATTTATTTATTTATTTATTTATTTATTTATTGTTTTTTGAGACAGGGTTTTTCTGTGTAGCCCTGAATGTCATAGAACTTGCTCTGTAGACCAGGCTGGCCTCAAACTCAGAGATAAGCCTACCTCTGCCTCCTGAGTGCTGAGATTAAAGGTGTATTCTACCACCACCTGGCCATAAATATCAATTCTAGACAAACTTTTCTAGGGAATTTAAAGGAAAAGACTGTTTACTAGCTCATTCTTTGACGCCAAGTTACTTTGATGCCAAAACAACAGACAAAGAAATTATATGAAATTATAACTATATATGACCTTTTGTTAAAAAAATAGATTTATTTATTTTTGTTTATGGATATTTTATCTTCATGTATGTACGTATATGCACAATGTACGTTCTAGTACTAGTGGAGAGCGGAAGAGGGTGTTTGATTCTTTGGATCTGGAGTACAGATGGTTGTGGTCCACCATGTGGGTGCTGGGGATTGAACCTCAGTCCTCTGCAAGAGCAACAGGTGCTTTTAACTACTGAGTCAATTTCTCAAGCCACTAGACTCTCTCTCTTTCTCTCTCTCTCCCTCTCTCAACAGGATCTCACTATGCAGCTTGGCCTAAGACTCATTATGTAGACCAGGCTGACCTTGAACTCATAGAGATCTGCTTGCCTCCTGAGTGCTAGGATTAAAGGAGTACACCACCACACCTGGCCTAGGCCACCATTCTTGATTAATATAGATGCAGAAATTACTCTAGAAAGTGACTTTTCAAGTCAAATACAAGAATAGACAAAGGGGTAGTGTGGATTTGCCTCAGGAATGCAGGGCTCATTGATCATTCAAAAATTATCCAAAAAAGCATTTTCAATATGAATAAAATCACTTGTGGTAATCATGTTTGATGAATTTTATTTTGATATTGAGTTTTATAGAATTAATCTAGTTTCTTTTTCTTTTCTTTGGTTCATTCATTGTTTGGAGGATTAAATAAAACGCTAACTATGCAAGCTCCTAGTGACAGATTGAGCAGGAATAGGAATCAACAGCTAGAAAGCTACTTATTGTTCTTCCAGGGAGGAAAACGAAAAGGCCATCTACTCACTGTCTTACAGAGCTGATGATTCTCAACACCCCCCCTCCCACCAGCTTTCCCAGGAGTGTAGAAAGCTTTCATAGTCGCACAGATTTAAAGCAATGTCATTTGGAGTGATGGTTGGCAGCAAATATCTTGCATCAGCATGTAAACTGAGGGGGGTGGAGAGATGGCACAGTGGAAAAGGTGCCTTGCCTTGCAAGCAGTAGGACCCCAGGCAGATCCACAGCACCCCTAAAAGCTGCACATGACAGCAGCATGCAGATGGAACACCAGTCCTGGATGTGGGTGGGGTGGGAAGCATGGGATGGAGAGGGGTGGATCCCAGGCCCCCCAAGACAGCCAGTCAGTCTGGCCGCAAAAGTAAGGGTCAGGTTCAGCGAGAAACCCTGTCTCAAAGAGGTGATATGAAGAGTGATGAAGGAAACACCCAGGTCCTACTTCCAACCTTCCCATATGCATGCACATAGCAAGCACATTTGTATATACACAAACATACATACATACATAGTCTCTCTCTCACACACAAACACACACACACACACAGAGAGAGAGAGAGAGAGAGAAGAGAGGGAGAGAGAGAACTAAATTTATGTTAACTGGACTAGTCAGTGCTTAGTGATTCTGTTGGACCTCCCTCGTGGTGTGAGTTCTTTATCTTGCCATGGGCTGATAAGCGCAGGCCTCCATTCAGAGCACCCAAGTCTTAGAGGATGTCATGTCTTACACAACAGCAAGGCTGTAAAATCAATACCAACTGGTAGCTGCTCTCATGATGCTGGTTTATGGATGAACCTTTTATTTACACATCTCTGCGAGCACGAGAGTTGTAACTTGACAAGCTGTACTTGCTCCTGTGTTTACTCCTTGTAATTAAATATTCGGTAGGTGTGAATATTTGCTGTAGGCTTTGTAACCATGTGGAAGCACCAAAAATAGGCGTATGTTTGTCTTTTTGCATTAAGATATTTTGGGGTCAAATGAGTCATTTTAGAAAAACCTGAAGTTGGCAGCAAGTAGATTTCTTATGTGACAACATGTATCAAATGGAATTAGCTCTCTGCCCTGCCCTAAGCAAAGGCAGATCTGAAGACTGCATCTTGGAACAGGGGCTTAGATTCATCAGTGATATCTGCTGTTTGTATTGATCTACAGTTGTATTGATTAGTGGTGTCTTCATGGTGTGAGAATGAAGAATAGTAACACCCCATGCCTCGTGTCTACATTTATGTTTTAGAGTTTCAGGTTAGCCCTTTCACTAAGAGTGACTCGAGTTATTCTGTTGCAGAACCTGACGGCCATGGCAGAAAAGAAGTGGGTCTTGCTGACGAGCCTGGGGATGCTTCTGTTCAAGAATATTACATGGATGTGGCTTTCCTCATAGATGCTTCTCAAAGAGTAGGACATGATGAGTTTAAGGAAGTGAGAGATTTTATAACTTCAGTGCTGGATTACTTTCACATCACCCCAGCTCCGCTGACCTCTGTCTTAGGAGACAGAGTGGCTGTCCTGACCTACTCTCCTCCAGGCTATCTGCCAAACGCTGAAGAATGCCCAGCCTACCTGGAATTCGATTTGCTCACTTACAGCACTGTACATCAAATGAAACATCATCTCCAAGAGTCTCTTCAGCAGCTCAATGGAGATGTTTTTATTGGGCATGCCCTTCAGTGGACAATTGACAATGTCTTTGTAGGAACCCCCAACCTGAGGAAAAACAAAGTTATCTTTATAGTAACTGCTGGTGAAACTAACCCTTTAGACAAAGAAGTTTTAAAAAATGCATCTCTGAGAGCCAAGTGCCAAGGCTACTCCATATTTGTATTTTCCTTTGGTCCTGTACACAATGACATGGAGTTAGAAGAATTAGCAAGCCACCCCCTGGATCATCACTTAGTCCAGCTTGGCCGGACACACAAGCCAGATTTGGATTATATCATCAAGTTTGTCAAGCCGTTTGTTTATTCAGTCAGACGTAAGTCACTTAAGCGTCTCTCCTTTATTGTCTTATTGATGCCTCTGCATGCAGTCTTTCAGCCTTCGTAGTCAAATGTATCTTATTTTTAGAAGACAGTAGTGGGCTCTGAATAGGAGGCAGCAGAAGAATCTCAGAGGAAAGTCTTGTTGAGTTTGGCCATTGCTGCTCTCAAAGTTTCAGACAGGAGATCCTCAAATAGGCGAAAGGTTTCCTTTTAAGCCTGACTTCTGAACATTTACAAAATGTTTGGTTCTCTGAATTGGCTAACATCAGTTAATCTTCAGCATATCCCCCAAAAGGAAGAATTCAGATTCCTTTTCTATAAAGGAAAAACTATGGTTCAGGTATATTAAATAAATTTCTCAAAAGCTTGTAATTAATCTCTGGCAAATTCTGGACCCAATCCCACACATTCTGGCCCTAAGACTATGTTCTTTTCTATTAAACTACACTTCAGTTACTAAAACCTTAGTGAAGCATACAACTATGATAACTAAAAACCCCACTGCTGCTATCCTTCACCTTTTCATAGGGCATCTGGTCTACCTTGTCATTATTAACCATCCTTGAATTCTTATGACTCATGGGTACAGATATTTTCTATTGCCTCTGTTCAAGACATCTAGAGTAAGCACAGCCACATAGAGATTTGAATGTTACCATTCTACTACAGCACCCTGAGAGTAGCTGCTCTGACTTTTACCCTTGGCATTGTCATTTTAGACAGAGGTATGGAGTAGTCCAAGTTCTTAGAGCATCAAACAAGTCCTGGCCTGTGCTGGGAATCAGGGGCAGAGCAAAAGCCATATTGTTTGGTTATCTGCAGTGGCTGGGGGCTTTCTGGGGTTTTCCAGGATTTTAGGGGTCCTGGCACACACACAATCCCAGGACTCAACTTACGGTTAGTAATCATGAAAATTAGGTGATATATTTACCAGTGAGTAAAAAACAGTGTCTTCTTTCAACCCCAAGGTAGAAATAAGGAAGGCAACTTGAATAGCCAACAGAGCCTATTAGGAGGAGTCTCCATTCCTGGGGTGTGAGAGGGAGGGGGAAATAGGTAAAAAGAAAAATTCAGAGATGTCCTTGAATTGTACCACAGGGCATAGGGACTTTTAATTCAATTATTGCTGTGCCTCATTGACTTGGCAATAACAAGGTCTTTCAATACCAGTGTGCTGGTGTAGCCAAGTCCCTTAGAAAGATTAATTTGTTTTTGAAGAGTCTTCCATCTCCAGGAAAAGTTGAACTGACTTTTTGGGTGATATCCATTATGTGGGAAGGTAAAAACTGGACTGAGAATTCCACTCTGTCTCCAGGTGCCATCAACAAATATCCCACCAGAGACCTGCAAGCCAAGTGTGCTAATATCACCTTTGCCCAACCAGAGGATACTGGCACAGACGACAGCATATTGTGAGTTAAGAAATTTCAGATGTGGGAAGTGCAGCCCGGGAAACAGTCCTTAAGAATGTGAAGGGATAGCTGCTCTGGTGGTAGTGGGTCATTATCCAAGAACGTGAAGTGAATGACATTTCCTTTTCAGAATGTAGGATCTGGGCTATGCAAGGGTGTTTTTAAATGTGTTGATGATTGCATTGCTGGCTAGCAGAAGACAGAATACAATCTATATTATAAAAAACCACATTTTATATGATGAACAACCACATCTGTTGCTTTTATTAAAACTATCTCATAGTGATAATGACATAGTGCAACTCAGATTGACTAGTGCCAAAGTGGAGCTTATGATATCAGAGGTTGGAAGGGAAACATGACAAAGAAAGCATATTCCTTTCAGAAAGCGCAAGACAGAGTTGCAGAGCCAATTCTGACTGCAAAACCCTGAGTCCCCAACAAAATTTTAGCAATGAAAACAACATTGGGTTTGGAATCCTAAACCTCTGAGACAAATGTGTGTTGAATTCTCTCTTGGAATATTAGAAAATTGCCCCTGTATCTCATTTCATCCACAAGCCCCATTAAGAAGGTTCCTATCATGTGCACAAGATGGATTTCTATTCTGGGATATGGCTACATTTGCATTTAATCTTACAAGGGACTTGGCCTAACCACTTTAATTCCTTTTCTCCTTCACCCTAGCTTCATCCCTGAGGTGTACAAAATCGAGGCAGGAGACAGCGAGCTGTTTGGAGACTTGGGTTCTCAGGAGCAGCATCTCTTCCTACTAGGGGACAATCACGGCAACCATTCAGGGACCACAGCTGACTTGATCCAGAAGTTGTACACACTCTTCTCCTCTGGGGAACTGATGGTGAATGATGAGGAAGAGCCATCTTCAGAAGAAACTGTAGCTCCAGTGAATGACAAACGAGGTAATTGCTGAAGACCCTGAAGTGCTTTTGTCCAGCTGGTCCTTTCCCCTGGGGGTTGAGAAGCACGGTGGCCAGGAGAAATAATAATAAAGAAATAAAAGTGGACACTGCTTATCACAGGGAACTCCCTGAGATAAGAGGACAAGGGAGATAAATCTCAGAGTGGTTGGAAGGGGGTTGATTGTGTTCAGAGCAACCATAGAAGAAAGTAGCTTCAAAGATTTGATGCAGAGTCAGGGAGCTGGGAAGCAGGGGCCATGAACAAGACCACAACCTTCTGGGAAGGCAGGAGCTCCACCCTGGGGCAGGTGAGGAGCCTCCTGACTCCAAACGCTCCAGGTCTGCCTTTGTAACCCAAGCTCTCCTGCTTTGAGATGTTGCCTCTTTGCTGAGCTATGATTTCAGTGGTACCCAGAGAGGTCAAGACTGTTGTGATTCTGAGATGAATGTGGGGGCTAAGGGCAACTTCTTATCCTTGGGTGGGAGGTAGTTATGGATCTGTGGCTAAAGAGGAAGTGAGGAACGGAGAGCAGTAATCTACCGAGAACTCCAGGGCAGCCATCCGGAGTCCTGCTGTGCTCCAGGGTCTTGTGGGAAAGTATGTTATACTAAATACTTATGGATCACAGTGAAGTCAGAAATATGACTCCGTAATTTTTCTACATTGTTTCACTGGCTAGCTTTGAATTCCAACTTGACACAGGCTAGATTCAATTGGAAAGAGAATTTCGATGAAGAAAATGCCGTCACAGATTGGCCTGTAGGTAGACCTATGGGGCGTTTTCTTAAGCAGTGATTGATGTGGGTAGGGAGCGGCTCACTGTGCACAGTGCCAACTCCGGGCAGGTGGTCCTGGGTGCCAGGAGAAAGCAGGCTGAGGGAGCCATGAGGAACATACCAGTAAGCTGTACTTCTCCGTAGCCTCTGCTTGAGTTCCTGCCCCCAGGTTCCTGATCTGTTTTTCCTTCCTGATGTACTATTACCTGGAAGAGTAAGATGAAAGAACTCCCTCCCCCCAGTTGGTTTTGGTAATGGTGTATTATTACAGCAATAGAAACCTTAAGTAAGTTAATTGTATAAACCCAATACAATTTATATGCATGTATGTGTGTGTCTAAAAGAGAATGTATACATATTCACCAAAAGTCATATACTAGGCTATATATAACAGCATTTTTTGCGTGGTAGCTGAGAACAAAATCACACTCCACATCAATGAAGTAATTATCTGAGGGTGAGACACAGAGTTAGTATTATTTACAAAGCTCCCTAGGTGGTTCAAGCATGTGTTCAAATTTGGAAAGCACTGCCGAGATGAATCCTGATCGAATCATTCCTGCTGGATGTCTCCGGGCAGTTTTGCTGCTGAAAATGATCCGACTGGTAGAATCTGACCCCAGCAACATCGACACCAGAACTCCCTGGAAACGCAGATCTTCAGATCCCAGCTCAGACCTACTGAACGGAAACTCTGGTGATGAGAATTACAGACCAGTGTTTGAGAATCACCCACCTAGTGGTGTAGATTCTGAGTGTGAATCTGCTCCTCCCCCCCCCCTTTTAAATAGGAGCCCTTCCGCTAGATAGTTACAGTGGACACAATCCCATGATTCTGGGAAACTGCTGACAGGCAGGCCAGTTTGCAGGAGATTTCACTGGGTTTTTTTGTGGGGGTAGTCAATAAGCCCGAGAGTGTGGCTATAATCAAAGCAGTCCAACCGCGGAATACTGTATGAGAGACCCCTCACAGAGCTGGTGTCCAGTGCCCACCGTGGAAGCAGTCATTGAACAGCTCTACAGTCACCGAACATCCAGTGATGGACGTGCCGCTTTGCCTCTCTGAGCCTCCATTTCCTCAGTGCAAAACGATCCATATAATTAATAAACACATTCCCCAAAAATGTTTACTTTTCCCTCAGAAAATGATCAATGTTTACATATATATAGCCTTTTGGGGTAAATTCTAATAATATCCCATCTTGACAAAAATTTCATTCCTAGATTATAGACATAGGAAATTAGAACACACGCACACATATATTCTTCTCAACAGAAAAGTACGATCAGGCAAATAGAGTTTAAAGCATATGAATCTTTTGCAGTTGGGATGAAATCCTATGCTAGAAGTGGAATGGAGGTAGAAGTTTAAGTAGTGAAATGAGCGCTATAAATTATCTGACTTAAACCTGTTTGATATAGTGATAGCTGAGATCAAGCCACTAATGGAATTAAAATTTGATTGGATAAGCTGAAAGAGAAATGCGGCCACAAGCGGTGGCATATTTGTGATTCAAGCACTCAGGGGGTCTAGGCAGGAGGACCAGGAGTGCATGGCTAGCCTGGGCTACATGAAACCCTGTCCGAAAAAAATGAAAAGAAAAGAAACATGGAAGTGTCATTCAAAAACATTTTAAAGCTGGGCATGGTGGTGCACGCCTATAATCCCAGCACTCAGGAGGCAGAGGCAGGTGGATCTCTGTGAGTTTCAGGCCAGCCTGGTCTACAGAGTGAGTCCAGGACAGCCAGGACTACACAGAGAAACCCTGTCTCAAAAACAAAACAAAAACACACAAATACAAAAAAAAAAACACGTTTAAAACTTTGTTGTTGTATGTCTGCGTGTGTATGTATGAGTGGGGGTGTGGAGGTCAGAGGACCCAGACTTTTCTCTCTTTTTGCCTTGTTTTGAGGAGGAGTGCTTACTCCCGTTTGGCCATCTCCAGCAAGCTTCTGCCTCCCACTTCACCTTGGGAATGCTGGGGTTCTAAATGCATGCTACCACACTGGGCTTTTAAACATGGATTCCAGGCATGGAACTCACGTCAGCGGGCTTGGCTTTTCCCTTCTGAGTCATCTCCCCAGGCCCCTATGGAAACTTTATTTTTAAACGTTGGCTTTCACAGCCTGTTGTAGTTACATACCTTTAAATGGGTAAGAAAAAATTAGATGTAAACTCTCCAAGGTGCAAGGCAAAGAGGACATGACTTCCCTCTCCCCCCACCTCCCGTGGAGATGGGTACTTAGCTAACATTCTTAAGTCATCTTGCCCCGAAGCTCTCCCTGAGTTGGCAGCCTCTGTTCATGAGATCTATTCACGAGATAGTCACAGGAGAATCTGTCAAGCAATGGAGGCAGCATCCTCAGGAAGGAGTAGAGACCAAATGAGGTGCACTTTCAGCACAGTCCCATAGAGGGCAACCAAAGCCTGGGCCTGGCTGGGAACTCAGCCTAGCTACCCTGAAAGTTAGGTCTTCCTGCCTCCCAGATCCCTAACGGAGGGACCAAGAGCTGCTCTAGGAGAGAAGGATCTACACCCTAGGTATTTATGGAGCCTGTGGCTAAAGCTACTCCATTGTTTACTATCTGGAGGACAGTCGGTGCTGGCATTAGCAATCAAAAGCTCACTTGGGGGAAGTCAGGGGTAGAGTGGGGGCAGGTGGGATAGGAGGAGGAGGATGAATGCAGGAAGTGAATACTATGAAAAGGCCACAGGAATTCTGAACAGAGCCAGACACTGTAGGCTATCGTAACCCCCTTCAAATGCTCATATAATAATTCTAGCCACTAAACTCATGGGTAGAGCAGAGAGAACGGTGTTCGTAGCCCTTAAACGTTACTCAGTTTTACCAGTTTTACCATGGACATATCTCTCTAGGCTGTGCTTTGGGCTTGACCGTGGAAGATAGAGAAGGTTCCCTGGGTTTGTTTCATGCCCGGCGCCCAGAGGAGCAGGGCCAGGAGGTAACACTGCTAGCCGATGTCGTGACGCTAAGAGCGGTGTGTGTTTCATGCTTTGCAGATGGCGAGGATGCAAGATGAAGGCACAGGAGAGCAGAGCGCCTGCTGGCAGAGGGACTCCCTGCCTTAGGCACAGGAGCTAGAACTAAATATAGGACTCGGTCCCAAATCGGAAGGAGAGACTCTTCAGAATGAAGACATCAAGGAACAGGCCTGTGAAACGAGGAATGGGTTTCACCTCTCAGGAGGAACGGGGACACCAAGCAAGCACAGGCAACAGTCTCCCCAGGGGCCACTCTGTTCACTTACTCTGATCAGTTTGGATGATTAGCTGCCGAAAGAAGATTTTCACCGTAGTCGTCATCACATCTGCACCTCCAATTAGACCCTCGAGTAAAAACAATTTGTAACTCGAATGTCCTGGGATTGTCTTTTGTCCATTAATACAACTGTAAACTCAGTGCTTTGGTTCTGGTAGGACCCTGAGATTACATCCAGCATTATTTACCTGTAGTCAGTGGGTTTGCTTTACCAGGACATTTATAAAGTAACAAATTCATAACTAACAAGATGGGAGGAGAAGCCTGCTTTATGAACTGCGCGCTCGCTTTGGGAACACTTGCTTTCTATTTTGATGTGCTTTTGCATTATGTGTACTTGAGTTTTGCTGAAAAAAAAAATCGTGTCTACGTGTGAATACGGAAACAGAGCTGATTTTTAAGAATTACAGTGTGTCAAAACAGTTTCCAAAACAGCAACAATAAACCAAGACCGATCCAGAAACTTGTTTCACACATTCTTATTAACTGTAGCCTAACGCAGACCCTTTAGAACGCAAGTTCAGGAAAGCACATAATAAACCTAGTCGGGAAATACACACACAGGGCAAGACAAAGCACAGTGAGTTAGTTACAGAGCCATTCGGTTTAACATGGCATACATAGGCAGTGGAGTGCTATTTAGACCTAAAGAAGAGCAAAGTCATGTGACCTGCAGGAAAATGACAGAACTAGAGGCCTTCGTGTTAAGTGAAATAAGCCAGCCTAGCAATTTTTTTTTTTTCCATATGTGGAGCTCTGGGGAAAAAAAAAAAAGCTGAGAAGATGAAAAGTAAAAGGGGGTTTGGAAATGGAGGGAAGGTATAAAAAGAGCAACAGAGGAGGTGAATGTCATCAAAGTGTTTCATATGCCTCTATGGAAATGTCATAATGAAACCCCTTATTTTGTACAGTAATTATAATACTAATAAAATCACTCAGTTTGGTAAAGGCAGCATGTAATTGGCAAATCAGTGAGCATAAATGGAATGAAAGTGCTGGTCGGAAAACACATGGACAATTTTGTATCTGTTCCACCTAATTTTCCTTGCTATGACTGTTGTTAACAAATTTCAAAATAACACAGGCAATTAATTTTAAGTAGCCATTTATTGCTCTGGAAATTTCTAAAACAAACTCTGTTTAATAGTTTCGTTTTTCCCTAAGAACTTTGTGTGTCCTCCTATATGCAGGAAGGATACATCAGATCCTTAAATCTGGAAGTGACAAGGGTATCAAGAACTTGAACCCGTAGAAACTCACACTCCTGGTGAAAGAGCACCGTTACAGTGTCGGACAGCTCTAAAGCAGTACCTGTCCTGTATCTAACCGTATCCTTCCGCTCAGCAACAGTGCCGTTCATAGGTGGATAGAGGAAGCTCTCACCCATACACACAGGAACCGTATGTAGCACTAGGTGGTACAGCAGAGTTAAAGGCAAGCCCTATATCCTAATATATCATAGGTGTATCAGAATATCACAGGACTGTCAAACCAACAAAGCTGAGCTCCATTCATAAACATCTGTAAGTCTCAGATATAACATGGAGCCAGAAAAAGCTGCACTAGTATACTCTCGGGCACCACTCATACATTTTAAAGCCAGACAAGCAATGCCGAGTGTCCTTTGTGACTACTGAGGACGCGAGTAAAAGACGCAGACAACAACTGGAGAACCCCGGAATTCAGTGCTAGGAAAATGGAAACCTTGTGATATCCGAAGAACGGCCCTAAAGGAACAAGACAGGCAGAATATCCCATCATTCCTCTCCTTGCTCCACAGCCTGGGCTGGAGTCTCCCCTTTGCAGGGTTGAAGATGGGAATCCAGGAAAGTGCATCAACACAGGTACCGGTAATGAGTTCTCTAGCCCCTGCAGGCCTCTGGCCTAACTAGATGGGAGACCTGAAGCCTGCGTAGAAGCTGGGCTATGGAAAGGCATCTGTCCATCTCCCCTTATGCCAGGCTCAACAGTGGCGATTGTTCAGGGGGAAGAGGGGGAAGAGGTGAGGAGTTAGTAAAGAAGTTATTTATACCTGTTTAGGTGGCTCACAGTACATAAGTTAAAAGAGAATAACCGAAGTCATGAAAAAACTCAAGTAAGCTCTTATATACATCTACGATCATGTCAGGACTTGGAAAGGGATAGAAAAAATAGCTGTCAAATCTTCATTCCTTTTGAGCTTGCAGTAAGCCAAGGTCACTGGAGTTATTAATAACACTCAAGTGACAATTTTCCCGAATGCTGCACACGTGGAGCTTGAATCAATATATAAAATTAGCCAACGTGACCTTCATGTGAAATTTCCGAGTAGCCATTTAGGGTTGTATAGAGCACAGCACAACTTGATGCGTGTAAGAAGCACAAGGGACGGGCTGGAGAGAGAGCTCAGGCAGGAAAGCGGTAGCCTTGCAAGCATGAGGACCTGAGTTCAAGCCCTATGAACCCACGTCAAAAAAGCCAGTCATCATGGCAAACACTTGTGATCCCAGAACTGGGGGGACAGACAGATAGATCCCTGGAGCTCACTGGCCAGCCAGCCAGACATGTTTGGTGAGCTTCAGGCCAGTGAGAGACCTTGCGTCAAAAACAAGAACAACAAACACACAGAGAGAGACTCACCGTAATTGTGAGGGGCTTCCTGAATAAGTATCTATTTCAGCTATTTAAGGCCAAAACAATATCAGTTTTAAAACTGTGTGTGTGTGTTTGTGTTGTGTGTGTGTGTGTGTACACCCCCATGAGTGTGCGGGGAGGGGAGCACATGGTGAGAAGAGCCGAGGAAGCTGCCCACACCGCATCTGCAGTCACAAAGCAGAGAGAGGTCAATGCTTTTGCTCAGCCTTCCTTTTATGCCGTCCGGGAGGGACCCACAGCCCACGAAACGGTTCCGTCTTCCTCCAGAGTGAACCTCCTGCCTCAGTTAAGCCTCTCTGGAAGCACAGACACACCTGTAGGGTAGGTTTCCATGGTGATTCTAACCCCTGAGAAGTTGACAGGGAAGGCTGGCCCTCACAGCGGGATAACCCCTGCCCGCTGTATATTTTCTTGGTCCCTGGGCTACTCCCTCTGGGCTCTCAGCAGTGTTATAAGGGTCCGTGCACTTTTGGATGTTGCTGGAAGCGTCTCTGCTTGGCTCATCACATCCCCAGTGAAATCCAGTGAAGGGATTACAGGACAGATTCCTCATAAAAGAGAAAAATGAGGGGAGCTGACATGAGTGATGACAAAAGCCCCCAGGGTTAGAGCTGCGCATCTGTGTACCGAAGAGAAGGGGAAGCTGGCTGTATGTGAGCAAAGCTTGTACGCTGGCCGGTGCGGCTGGCCTGGGAATTCGATGCTGCAGAAAGTATGGTGAATTGCTAAAAACCAGCTTATTGTTTTGACCTTTTAAAAGAGCAAACTGTTTTTTGAGAACCTTGAACGCTCCACAGTGTATAATCAATTTAAATTCCCCGAAAGGAACCACGGTGTGTGCATTGAGCACCCATTTTACCAGAAAGCTTTTGGCAGAAATGACCCTCGAAGCCCCCTGTAACCTTACATGACTTGAGATGATGCACTTAGAACAGCTGGTCAGAATTATAGATGACTAAGAGTCCTGTGATATCTCTGGAGAACTTCATTCAGCATGCTAAATGTGACTCCTAACTTTGGTCTGAGGGCGGGTGGGGGGGTAAAACACTGCCCGTGTAGCTTGGGAGTTCCTAGGTCCTGCTCCGTGTCTTCAAATGGAAGCTCCTTCCCACCTCTCTAGAGTAACCCATCTGCTCTAGAGCCACTCCCCTGCTCTGGGACCGTGGCGAGCTGACCCCAGAACTCCGAACATTGTCCTTGTCCCTGCTTTTTTCTGTGGCTTTCCATTGCTCACCACGAGAACACCACACTAATCCCTAGGAGCTTGCACTGGAAGACCCAAACAATGATCTGTCTTTATGCAGGGAGGACTAAGCAGGGGAGCCCTATCTTATGGGTTATACCCTTTTGGCCTCTCTTCTTAAATCTGAGCTGTTACCATAGAAAAGTGGAAGACGCTTTCTGGGGTGGGGGCCTCGTGGGAGTATGTTAGGTCAGACATTGAAGGGGATACAGGGTTGCTAGCCTCTTCCTCCTTCTCTTTGCCTTCTAGCTGCCATGGGATGAACAGTTTCCTCTGACATGGTACCAGTTACGATGTCCCGCTCTGTCACAGGGCCCAGAGCAGCATGGTAACTGCTAACACACTGAAACCTCTAGCAGTAAACTGTTCCTCTTTTTAAGTTGCTTTATCTTGGGTATTTATTCTCGCAACAGAAAGCTCACTAACGCAGCTGGGAACTGCAGCTGTGTAGGGACTGGCTCGCAAGTGGACTGATTACGGTCTCTTCCAAACAAAACAAGAAGAAGAAAAAAAAAGCTAAAACTCAAGGATGGCGGGCGTTAGCAGAACAGATTAATAAGCAGCACAACTCATCTCTTATCAGTTACTAGCATTCCTGCAGAACAAAATGCTTTTTCCTAGCACGACATGAACTAACCTACAAATGTCCTGGTCATGTATCCAAATCGTATCTGGAGGTCCATGCACCAGGGTATCAGCAACATCTTGGAGCCTGGAAGAAGTGCAAAGGTTCTGGACTCGACCCCGTGTCTACTCTGCTAGAATCTGCACCATAACCAGATCCCTGAGTGATTGGTGTGATCATGTGAGGCTGAGAATTCCTGGTCTAGACATCATTTGCTTGAAGTTCTGCAGAGGATCAGACACATCCTGTCATTCTCCAGCCCCGCATGTGTGATCACCCACGGTGGAGCATGGTCTAACTAGGAATACTGAATCAGGAAAGGATATCTGCATGGTGAGGCCATGGTGAACATGGCAGAGAGCATTGTGGGACCACAGAGCAGGAAACTTCATCTGGAGTTTGAACCAAAGAGGGGCCCTTTTGGTCTGAATGAAAATGACTAGGTACAAGCAGAGAAAGCAGAACTTTGAAAGAAATCCAAGGAGAATAGTTTTACCTCGCTCTTTTTTTTTTTTTTTAAGAGTCTGACCCACAAACCGGATGTTTAGAAGAGGAAGGTGAGGAGGAGGAAGTGGAGAGATAAGTGCAGGGCAGGCAGTGAGACCCTCCCCTGAGGATAGGAAAGGGACATGGTTGGACTTGGTTTGAGGTTGGCACTTCCTACTTCAGGAATAGGGGCTTGCAGAGGGAAAGAGTCAAAGGGTTATTAGTGATTCAGATAGGACTGTTTCATGATGCTGAGATGATTGGCCATATAAGGAATATGCTTAAGTGGTAAAATTGGTGGGGTCTGTCCATCAGTTGGTTTGGATGGGAGAAGATTAGATGCGTTCTTCAGTATCTGCAGCTACCTTCTGAAATCCTCCAACCAGTGGCTTCATCTTATTTCAGTTCTCAGTTAAAATCAGCTGCTCTCCTTCTGAATTCACAATCCCAGGCCCGCC